AAAATGGAGCTGGTAAAAGACAGAAGAAAAGAAGATGAAAAAGATCGATAATGAGATAAAAGACACAAGGAAAGGTGGAGAGGAAGTAAAAAGAAAGAAAAGAAATCTAACGTCAAGGGGAAAAAATCAAAAGCAAAATTGAGTAGAAAGAACAATACGTTTCGCCTAGGTTTTGCATTCTGTAAAGAAATTCTTTTTGAGTATTGCCCAGTCATCATCGTGTAGTGCACAAGGACGATTTTACAATTCATATCGCTGTGGTCGTTGTTCTGTTCTGTTCGGTTTCATTTCCTTGGTTTAAACTAGAAGTCAGACAATAGTATAGGTTAGTACAAATAGACACAAACCTGAAAACATGACATTGGTCTGGTTACAGTTTTGATGCGGTGTACAAAAATATATAAACCTTTCAAGTCATTGAGAAATGAAAGGAACGTATTCTGTTTCGAACAATCTAAGCTTATCGGTAGCTATTTAATTACCATTGGCTTAATTATTGTTTTAAAGAAAGGAGCCTATCACCTTTTGACCATATCCGCTAATCGAATATCTGATCAGAGTTAGCATTAATAGACAAGGCGTTTGTACAAATTGCGGCAACCATGTTCCGTCGATTTTCGAAAGAATGATTGCTCAGATTTTCAGCCGTTTGATACGGCACCAATATTCATTCGTGTCGAAGTCAGAGAACGAAATCCCAAGATGCAATAACCAAAAATTATCATAGTCCACTAACCAAATAGAAACTTCAACTCAACTATGTGAGACGCCATCATGTGTCCTAGGTACTACAGGCGCCTAAATACCATGGAGTCTTGGCCTACTTAAGTGGTCCCTCTACGCGACTACAAGTAAGGAAGTGATGCATTATTGCGGTATAACTCGGTGTAAAGGCTTCTGATGATCTTACATTACTGCAGTATCGGTGTAAAGTAAAATGTTTTCGCAGTATGAATCTGGTATCAATATTTGAAATGAAACAGGAAATTTTCTTATGCATTTCGAAGGCATGATTACTATACAGTGAAAATAAATATTGACAGGATTTTCTGTGTGAGTTGCTGCATACAGGGAAATGCTCGTCATTAAGATCCATGAGAGATAGACCGAAAGGTCGCTAGACAGTACATCACGCGACACGCTCCTTTAATTGTAAACATGTTAGTAAACAATATTTTTGGAGAGCTTAGTATTTCGCAACAAATGTACGAAATATCGACCATCATTTCTAATAGTGTTTGACCTGCATTTGCCTTGCAGTTCGTTTTTCGTCGCTCTTGAACTAACCTGTTTCTTCCAAATGCTGTTCTAGATTTCCAAGTCGAAATTACCATTAGAACGGTTTGCGTTGTTGATACAGACGGTTTCACCTTGAATGCCAGATTTTCTAGATAAGATTGACTTTGGACATAAGATCAGAAGTGCGTGAGTGGATTGGTTCAGATACGATAAGCAGATAAGGTAATAGAGTTGTGAGAATGTGCTGAATGTTTTGTAATTTAAAAATTCAGCATGAGCTCAGATTGGAGGGTGGACTTGAGCGCCCTGAAACCTAAACAGCTTAATTATTTTTAATAAGTTATGCAACAACGGAGGCGCCTGTATGGGCTTGGGTTCTTCCATCGATCTCGAGTGATATTTTGTCTGAGCGTCGGACACAAATCTGATGGATCCTGGGTTCGAGCCCCTATCAGGTCATTAGCCTTTCTTCATTCCTGATGTTGATAAAGAATGCCACTCTGCAGAAAGGCAACGGAAGAATTCACTTTGTGCCTGCCACGTAGCTCTAAATTTTGCCTTTAAAAAAGGCACTTACAGCTCGTGATATAGAAATGGAGAATAAAGCCACACCGTAAGCTTCATGGAATGAAGAGCACCGCAATTGGCCCGCAAATCATGAAAGCGCAAAGGTTGCCATTATCCCAGCGGTTGTAAGCTTTACCTTTTTCGTTCAACGTTGTTGTCGGCAACGACTTCATCTGACAAAAGCTTATGTAACTGAATAATTAACAGTTAGCATCCTGTCACGAAGCGAAAGAATTTCTTATTTCTATAAAATAAGCATATGGTTCTAATTGAGCTCTTGGGTACTGTGAAGTTTTTCTTACGTCGTCTCAATGTAATCGAAATAAAGTAAACAATAAATTCTCTAGTTTTGGGTTTGTTGCCATTTGCAGGGTCCAAGTAGTTGTTACCGATATTGTCGTTGTGGTCGTCGTCAGTGGTCCTTCAGTTGAATTAGCCAGATCGGTGATGACCCCAGACGTTGTTTAAAAATTGAGTCTCGAATGTTTGTTAGACTGTATTCACTTTTTCATCGATGCTACTGTTTTAAGTAGTTGCCGACTACTATCAGAAACAAACGGATTGACCGATGAAACGTTTATCAAAGCAAAATCGATACTGAATTGCGTTATATTTCATTTGCCGTTAGTTTAGTTCTGTATTTGTTAATGAAGCATAATACCTGCCTTTACTATAAATGTTTTTATAGGAATTTTAAATGATGATTTTTTAGCGTAATCGAACGTGATCTGTCTATTTTTCGTGATGTGGACATAAAAGAAGAAGACGTGACGAGTGCTGAGGCTCGTGCCAACGGCGTTCTATACCAAATAATGTCACACCGTTTGTATCGCGACCCTTCGTGTACATTTCCCGCAAGGTAGACTTACGACGGATGTTGTTCTCAAACAAATTAACGTAATAAGTTTTTGTCTCAAAACGAAAGAATTAAATATAATAAATTTTTATCGCCTATCTGCCATTAAATTTTCATACCATACCATAGAAGAACTGCATATTCGAAGTATTTTTAAGACTAACATTTTATACTGATAGCAACCTTCGTGCTTAAGTTAATGGTATGCCTTTTTTTGTTTTCCCCGTGTATGTCAATTCTTTTTCCCATTAATTTTCCATTTTGTATATTTATTTTTATTCTGATTAGAGATCAGACCTTTCATTTACTAATGGTTTGCTACAATAATTTCTTTGGTTGCATCTAAAATACCCTGAGGCAGTTTTTGAGCTTTCGGTTTTGCCTAGTATTCGCAGCGCTAAACGAAGAGCGGGTTCATTTATGAGTTTTATAGTTAAAATTTCGGCTGTTGGAGGAGGGAACTAGAGCTATGTATGTTTTGAACGAACTCTTTTTCTGAAGTTCCGAACATAAAATTTTTC